GTGGTTCATTATTAGGACCTCTAGCTCTCTTGTCGTGGTTGACTTTTCTAAGGCTGATTTGGCTTGTAATGTTTGGACCAGCATTCATATCATGTATTGTGTATTTATTAGTGGTAAGTCAATAATGTGGAAGAGCAAGAAACGTAATTGTTATAGTTAGGCGTGTCATCGAGTTAGTAAAGAGCTATAACTTACGACACGTGAAATAGTCCTGGGCAAATCCTTTGTTGTAGGAAATGGGTATTTCCCTAAAAACTCATGAAAATGTCTAGGGACAATCACAACTTTGAATATTGCTTCTAGTCCATTATTCTATGAGAGGATTAAGGCTTAAGCATGTAGAAGTTGACTGTTATTTTGTTGCATAGTTGATAATGGGTATTAGACGGTTGACATTTTGGCGTAGTGGTAAATTGGTTAATCATAAACTAGGTGTCATGAGCTCGAGTCGTGGTTATGCACTCCCCAGACTACAGTGTGGGAGCCTTTGTGCACTAGGCTGTACTTTTTTATTTGGTTGTGAGTAAACATATATCAACTACGTATGTGAGGTCTGGAGATTAGCTGATGATATCTTTGCTAAAGTTGCTGGTAGTGGACAAATTTAGCTCAACATGATGGATATCTATGCTCCAGTTAGAAAAAGGAGTGTTGAGTTAGAGTTGGGGATAGTAATGTAGTAGTGCTTTTCAATGACTCAATATCCAAGTTCCAAGTCATCCCACTTATGGGCTATGGATTTTCTTTCAACCTCTATTTTCTTTTCTCTCATATCTCTAATACCTAAACTGTAGCTACGAATCAAATTCTGTTTAGTTTCTATCAAAATGACACTTCAGTTTTGGTGAAAAATCAGAATGATACTGTGATGGAAATTGAAGTTTCCTCTATTTTGATATGTGAAATGTTTCTAATGTTTCGGAATGTTTTTGACCAATTTTTGGGATTACAATTCCAATTTTTAAGCACAACAGAGACATTACATGTGAAAACTTTATCAAAGAGGCTCCAATTTTTTGAAACCTAATAGAATATCTCTAAAATGGAAGCCAACGGGCCTTTGGTCCAATGATACTCCTTACGTTGTGAAGGCTTGCTTTCGTGAGGTCAAGAGTTCAACCCCCTTCCCCCTACCCCTTCCAAAAAAAAAAAAAAAATTTAAAGGAAAAAAAAGTTAGTTGAACTTATGTTTCCAATTACTTCTAAAACTTTTCTGGAATACCATCATTGAACATAATTGGTGGCTGGGGAACTGGATTGAGTAACTAAAAAGTGTCTTACCCTATACTTAATGTTCCTGCACACTCTTTTGCTTCAAAGAGAGACCTTGAAGGTAGACCTCCATATAATAAAGGAACCCCACCTCACCCTCAAATGGGATGTTTATACTTCCAAGTTCCAACTCTTCTTACTCTCTAACTGGAATTAACTTTGTCCCCCACTAGTTCTCTCACAACCAGCTGCTCAAAACCAAGAAGCACACATCTAGCCCTAGCTTCTCTGCTTCTGTCCCTGAGCTTCTGGTCTCATCAGTATGCAAAGATGAGACACAGATACTGTTGTTCTCCTGTTAGCTGCACACATGATTTTTGTAAATGAGCTCGGAAGTACTGCATAAATTTATTCTCACTCTCTCTCTCTCTCTCTCTACCCGCTTGTTTTGCATTTTCCACTCTTGCTTTCCTGAATTTGGCGTTGGGTTCAGGATCCAAGTGATGTCAGAGACAATGTAAGGGAATGGCTCTGTAGGAGTGAAGCTGATCAACGTGATAAGTTGTTAGCCTGTGGGACCCTTATTGTTGCAGAACTTAGGCTGCTGGTTCTAAAAGAGACTGAATTCACTTGTTCTGCTGGCATTGCTCATAATAAGGTTGATTATATGAATTTTGGTGCATCATGTAGAGAATATATGAGTTCAGTAACTGATATATGGTGCTGTTCAACTCTATTAGCAGATGCTGGCCAAACTAGCAAGTGGTATGAATAAACCTGCACAACAAACTGTTGTACCATTCTCATCTGTCAAGGGATTGCTTGAACCGTTGCCGATAAAGAAAATGTAAGTTACTGCTTCAAATGTACTCAACCTATGTCGTGTATAGAATGAAAATGAATCCAAGATTTGTGAATTTATTTCCAAAACAGTCTTGAACTTTGTCGAAATATATTGAATCATCTTTAAACACCTAGAAGCATTCCGAAACATTGGTGGAGCAAAACAGCCCAAAACATCTCGGATAATTGGAATTTCGATTTAATCACTAATTCTTTTTGGTCTCCTTGGAAACATTAATGTTTTGGGAGTTCTGGCCTTTTCGAAACAAAATTTTGGTCCTTGGTGTAGTCCTTCTAAATCGCAAGATTGAGCTGAAAAGGTGTACTCAAACTATAAAACTTTGTAATTTAACTTATTCGGAGATCATCCACTTAGTACACAAGTTTTTATTCACTTCTCTCTCTCTCTCTCTTTTTGTTTATTTTTCGAAATCAATATTATTCCATTTTTCCCTTTGGTGAATGTCTTTTTTTTCCGGAATATTTTTCTGGTGGATATCATTATATGCATGTAGGTCTAAAGGTAACCCATTGTTTAATCTGTTTTGAGGCAATGCAGGAAACAGCTTGGGGGAAAGCTTGGGAATTCTTTGCAACTTGACCTTGGTGTGAACACTGTTGGGGATCTATTGCAGTTTTCAGAGGAGAAGCTACAAGAACATTATGGGATAAATACTGGGTGATTATCTCCCATCAGTTGTAGATATAATGTTTACAATGTCAGCAACACTTAGATCATTTGAATTAAGCATATACAACCAAATATTTCCTATAATGGCAAAATGGGATTCTTTTGCTCGTATTCCAAGATCAATATAATATTGATATAATATTACAAGCTTGTATTCCAATTACTTTCCATTATGCTGTCTTTGACTTTTCATTCCCATAGAACTAATTTTTTTTTGAATATTGCCAATATTTCTGATAGAATAAATTTTGTCACCTTTTTTTTTTCTCAAAATTTTATTGAATTGTCCTTTTCTTGTTGATAAATTATCGTCAATTCTTGAGATGATAGTGATATCATTTTGTTTGGAGTTTATTTTCTCTGTTCAAAGATTTACTGGTAAATATTTGACTAGGATTTGCTGCTATTATTTGTACACATTTAGGATGTTAGGCCTGATTCTACGTTTTACTTGCATTTTATAACTGTGTTATAGACTGATTCTATTTCTGCACTTGCAAAGCAGTACTTGGTTATGGAATATTGGGAGGGGAATCAGTGGGGAAGAGGTTGAGGGTCGCCTTCTTCCCAAGAGTCATGGTGCTGGGAAGACATTTCCTGGACCTCGGGCCTTGAAAACGATTGCTTCTGTAAGTATTTTTTCTTCAAGGATGATTATTGCTTCTGAACCATGTGTTCTTTACCATTCTCATAGTGATCCTAACTCCTCATAACACCCTGTGTAGTACTATGAATCTAACAATTAGGTCAGAAATCTAGGTCTGTGTGACTGCGTTCCAAATTTCATTTTGCGCGCATGTAAGTAGCCATTTCTGATTTCTGACCTTATTAAATGTAACTCCTCTTGCTTCTTACTTCTCGAGTAAAGGGTCATTGTTCTTTGATCTTACCATCTAGATATTCACCCCTAGAAAAAGCTGGCGAAAACTTGATTGAGTGATCTCACATGGTCTCACTTTAAAAAAAAGAGAAGTCATGTATTATAATTGGAGTGATTAGAGGGAGAACAAAGTGGATTTATGAGCTAATTCTGGCATGAGAGGACCAATGAGATAGAACACTGTTGGATGCATTCCTTCGCTAGCAGGGCTTTGGCCCATCTCAATTGAAGAGTCTTCGGTCAGTAATCTCGTACTCTCGATTGGCTTGAACCACTACGTTATCCTTATGGAGGCTCATTCGTATGCTTATCCTATTCATGTCACCAGAACCTGTAAGAAACCATCTTTCTTGTACTCTTAATAAAGAGCATCAAAGGCTAAGACCAAGGCAGGTAATTGCGCTCGTCCAATTTCTCAGTTGCAAATTGGAGAGTAGGGTTCTCATTCAGAATTTCTAGGTTTCCAATTTGACTAACTATCCTTGTTTCTTGGTGTGGGAAGATCTCACTTACTTTTGACATCTTGAAAGACTCTTAAACATGCCTCAACAGACTCAACACACACCAAAATAAAAAACCAGCAACAATACAAAGGGAAAACCAAACCGTCACCTCCGAAGATCCTACTAAATTTTATTGCAGAGTCTTAGGCATAACATCATCACAAAAAGTTCCAAAAATCAAACTACCACACCATCTGCAACCCTAAAAACAAACTGCAGTACCACTTTTTTGCATTAAATATCTTGAAATCTTGCTCAGAAACCATTGGGCAACCTTTATTATATATCTTCGGAGGTCTCTGGTTCATACTCATGGAAAAGTTGCCCCAAACAAGGTCTGGGACTGAAATTCCAAAGAATAGCCCAAAAATTTCCAAAGTTCAGGAAACTTTGGGAAAATGCATCCAGAACATGGATCACCTCCAAAACTTCTACTCTCCAAGTCTGCCAAGCAGGTATTTCCAAACATTGACCAATACTCTTTCTTTGTACAGTGGCGATTAAGAAATGCTAACCATGTTTTGATGACATGTTAATTTATTAAGTTAAAATAGAAAAAATAATATTAGGGTTAGAAGGATGTAGAGGGAGGAAGAAGAAAGAGAAGAGAAAGAGAGGCAGTAAAGAATAATCTTTGTGTTACGACTTCTTTGTTGCCCTACGCCTTTGTATTTATAACTAATTAATGTTTAGGATAATTACAACATTACCCTACACTAACTCCCTAAATTATGACTTGATATAAAAAATAAGAACTCTAACACTCCCCCTCAAAATGGAGCATAAAGATTAAAGATGCCTAGCTTGGAACATAAACCATTGAAGGTAGATCGAACTAATGGCTTTGTAAAATATCACCCAACTGATCACCAAACTTAACATATGGAGTGATGATCTCATTTCACATTAATAGATCTCGGATGAAATGACAATCCACCTCGACGTGTTTGGTATGCTCATGAAACACCGATTACTTGCAATGAAAATAGGTGCTTGGTTGTCACAATGCATCTTCATTGGGAATGACACATATCACGAAGTAATGAACGAACCCATAACATCTCACATGCAGTGTGAGCCATAGCACGATATTCAGCCTCTACACTAGAACAACCAACCACATTCTACATTTTACTGCGCCCGGTAACAAGATTCCCACCAACAAACGTATAATGACCAGACGTAGATTGTCTATCACTATGACTACCTGCCCAGCTAGCATAAGAAAATTCAACAACTGTTATGGATGATGATGGGTGATACAATAATCATTTACCTGGGCCTTCTTCCTGGTATCAGAGGATACGAAATGCAGCCTCCTAATGAGGCTTATGAGGAGTGTGAATATATTGACTAACTACATCAATAACATATGTAATATTAGGACGTGTAACTGTGAGATAAATCAGTTTACCAACTACCCTTCGATAGCGTCCTACATCATCAAACACCTCACCATTCTTAGGATCACTTGATGGATTGGAAAGTAAAAAAGAGATACAAACTAAGTGTAGAGCCCCATATATATAGCCAATGAAAATACAATAAGGATAAAAAGGTAAAAAATTAAAATTTATAATAAACCCTAATAAACTAAGCTGCAATATCTTCAACACTCCCCCTTAAGCTAGGCCCAAAAAAGTAAACTAAGCCAAGCTTGACAACGGAGTCTCAAAGAATGGATAGAGTGACAGGTTTGGTGAAAACATTTGCAACCTGATCACTAGTTCCAATAAACGATAGAGTGACAATACCACTACTAACCTTCTCCCGAAGAAAGTGAACATCGATCTCTATATGCTTCGTCCTCTCATGTAATACAGAGTCAGAAGCGAGCTGAATAGCAGATCGATTAGCACAATATAATATAGATGAAGAAGTCACTGGAAATCCCAACTCGCCAAGAATCGATTGTAGTAAGATAATCTCACATGTGCCAAGTGCTAGTGTCCGATACTCTGTCCCTGCTAATGAGCGGGAGACAACTAACTGTTTCTTGCTCTTCCAAGAGATAAGATGAGTCCCTCGAAAAGTATAGAAGCCCGTAGTAGATCGACCGTCACACGCTCTCCCATAATCTGAATCTGAATAACAGGCTAGAGAACCAGTCTGAGATCATGATGCATAGAACAACCCAAGTTCAGGACAAGACTTGAGGTACTGAAGAATATGATAAACTGCATCAAGATGAGGCTGACATGGTCTGTGCATGAACTGACTAACTCGGCTGACAGTGAATGAAATGTCTGGCCTAGTGTTGGCTAGGTAGATAAGTCTACCTACCAATCTCTGATAGATAGTCGGATCTCTCAACTCCTCACCTTCAGCAGTAAGCTTCAGGTTTAGAATCATGGGTGATGATGCCGGTTTGTACCTTAGCATCTCAGTGTCTGAGAGAAGATCCAGAACATACTTTCTCTGAGAAAGAATAATACCCCTGCTGCTACGGGCAACCTCAATCTTAAGAAAGTATCGCAAAAATTCAAGGTCCTTTACATCAAAAGCCTTCCCAAGGTTTACCTTGACCTGTATAGTCCCCGAAACATCATCTCCAGTAATAATAATATCATCAACATATACAAAAAAGATAACACACTGTCTAGAAGTATTCCGTCGAATGAAGCAGGTATGATCAGAATGACATATGGTAAACTCTTTTAGTCCATAAAGAGACTTACGCAGTCAACATATCTTTCCAGCATACTCCCCCTTACCATAAAAGTCTGGTGGTGCATCCATATAAATATTCTCGTCCAGATCACCGTGAAGAAATGCATTCTTCACATCCAACTAATAGAGAGGCCAAAAGTACTCCGCAGTTAGAGAAATAATCAATCGAACAATAGTCAATTTTGCCATGGGGGCAAAGGTAGCAACAAAATCACGACCTGATACCTGAGTAAAGTCCTTCGCCATAAGCCTAGCTTTGTGACGATCAATAGTACCATCCGTAAGAAAATTCAGGGATTAAACTCAGCGACAGCCAATAGGCTTTACTCCTGAAGGTAAAGAGGCAAGATCCCACGTAAGACTACGCTGAAGAGCGTCCTTCTCCGTCTACATGACAAGAACCTACTAGGGCTCCCTCATAGCCTCTGAAACAAAGCAAGGAACCGGCGTATTTGATAAGGCCATACTATAAGCTCGAAATGTAGGAGACAAATCACCATAAGACACATAAGCAGAAATCGGCTATACAGTCCAGGCAGTCCAACCATAACGAACAACTGGACGACGACCACGCTACGGATAACGACGCCCTAAATTATCATCCTCCACTGACAGTGTCTCATCAGGGAAAGTAACTGGCTTAGTATCATCAATCTCATCAGTACTAATAATAGGTACATCAATATGCTCAACGAACTGAGAAGTATTACCTGCATCGCCTGAGGTAGAGGGGACATTAACAGAGGGATGAGAGCGAGGGCGACGAACATAAACTTGCAAAGGAAAAGAGACCGGTGACTCAGTATTGACAGGGACGAGTGGTTCTAGAGGAGAGACTGATGACTCTATAATGATAGTGATCAATGACTCTAGCTCTTGTGGTAACGAAAAATCAAAGGGAGTATCATCAACTAGAGGGGCAGACACAGGATTGAAATAAAAATAAGGAATGTGCTCAAAAAATGTAACATCAAGACTGTGATACATATGGGGCTTGATAAGATCATAACACTGATACCCCTTAAATTGATGACAATAGCCCACAAAGACACAACGAATCGCTTTATCATCAAACTTATATCGAGTAGGAGACCGACCCTGAACAAAACATGTGCAACCAAAAACACGAGGGGGGACCGAAAAAAGTGTTCACTTAGGAAATAAGACTTGTAAAGGAGCCTTATACTGAAGAACACGACTCGGTGTACGATTGCACATAAAGGTAGAAGTCAAAACAACAAAATGCCAATAAGATTTTGGTACTCCCATACCTCTAAAAATACAACGTACCATCCCTATTAGACTCATATTTTTCCTTTCAGCAACTCTATTTTGCTTAGGAGTATATGGACAAGTGAGCTGTTGAAGGATACCCTGAGAGGAAAGGTGAGACACTAAGGCATTGGACAAATATTCTTTGGCATTATCCGAACGAAGAGCACGAACAATGACATCGAATTGTCTTAATCATCTGAAGAAACTGAGTGATGATAGGGAGTCATCAGATTTTCTATGCAAAAAGTAGACCCAAGTACAACGGGTATAGTTATTTATAAATGTCACATAGTATCGAACA